TTTATTGGCTCTGCCGGCTTTCAGAACACCACAGGAAAAGTGTGTGTCTCCAGCCCCCTGGAGTTTGATGTTGATTATTCTGTTAGACAAAGACTTCAGCCTGTCTCCAGCTTCAAAAGGTACTTAGAACCACCAGGAGAGAACTTGGCAGCCCTCTTTATTTGCTTCCAAAGCAAAAGGAAATCCTTATTCCCTAATGGGAAGTAAGGAGAAGGATGCTTGGTAGAAAGATGAAGTGACTGAGGGAAAAAAACGAATGAAGATTGCTGCAAAAAATGAAAGCAAGAGAGAATTGTTGAATAATAGGTCTGGAGAGAAAATATAGTTGCAATTGAGGAGAACAAGGAGGAGATAAGGATTGAAAGAGGCAAAGAAAATGCAGATTGGGGTTTTAAAAATATTTTTTAACCCCATCTTAATTATTTTTACAAATAACTCCAGGCAATGAACATATTGAATATACCTTCCTCCTCCTACTTTTCCCACAATAACCCTGTGAGGTGGGTTAGACTGAGAGAGAAGGACTAGTCGAAAGTCACTCAGCTGGTTTTCATGCCTAAGACAGGACTAGAACTCACAGTCTCCTGTTTTCTAGCCTCATGCTTTAACTGCTACATCAAATTGACTCTTTGATGGAATTTAAACATTATTTTGGAAGTGATTGATGAGGGTAAACAAAGATCATCGAGCAGGAAAAGTGGCATCAAAAATAAAAATGCTTTAAATGATTTGAGATTTACGTATGAGAAAAAAGTGGGACTGAAACAAATGCTATAAGTGTTAATGCCCAAGAAAAAAACAATGGCAAGAAAAACATAAATGCTAGGAAAATATTGGCTCTGCAGGGGAAGCTGACATACTTGGAGAAATCTAGGATACCAATAATCCTCAGATTGTAATGGCAATTGGGACCTGGATTGTCATCACTAAGCAATGCAGCCATAAAGCACAATATTTTTTGGCAATGGCAGTCTCAGCAGTCCCAGTTGCTGCTGTAAACCCCAAGATGCACAGCAGGTCATGAAATGAGTCCTAAGTAAGGAGCCTGAGAGTGCCACAGGGTTTGGGGGAGGTCAGTGCAGTCTAGATCAGGGGTCCCCAACCTCGTGTCCATGGACCAGTACCAGGCCACAGCATGCCAGCAACTGGTCCGCACAAACAAGCAAAGCCCCATCTGCAAGATGCAGGCAGCACACAAAACCACACACCCCCCCCTGATCCCCGGAAAAACCTTTCTCATGGAACCGGTCCCGGTGCCCAAAAGGTTGGGGACCTCTGGTCTAGATACAAGTCAAAGGCTGGGGGAGGAGCTGGGATGACTGGTGCAGGCCGCTTGCAAGTCAGGAGAGGCCAGGAGAGGGTTTGGGAGAGTCAATGCAGGCCATGTGTGGGTGAGGGGGTGATGCACCAGACAGGAGAAAAAACAAGAGTGTCGTATTGGAGTGACTTGCACCTTGACTGCTGGCTTCCCATTGAATTTGCCTGTGATCAGCCAGCACTATCTGCAACCTTATAATTGCAAGCTGAGAATCTTGAGCATTTGGATTGTAATCACATGCCCATGGGGTTGCTACAATAGCCAGAGCTTCTAAGTTCAGTCATACATCCAGTGGTGGGATTCAGCCGGTTCACACCACTTCAGCAGAATCCGTAGCTAATTTTTTGTTGCCCAGGCCCAGAATGGACTTCCGAAAGTGGCATCCACACAGAGAACCAGTTGTTCACATATTTGAATCCCACCACTGTGTACATCCATTTTTTTCCCAGCTGTAACTGTAATGGTCACTGAATGAATGGACGTAAGCCAAGGACTATGTGTATGAATATGGTCTCATTATGGAATGGCTGCACACAACATGTGTGTGTGTGTGTGTGTGTGTGTGTATGCTATATTTGTGCTTGACAATAGAAGGGATGCCATTATTGTTCTCTGGCACAAAGGGAGCAGTAACAAAAATGAATTACAGGGAAATTAGTTTGTTTAGTACACCTGGAAGTTGTTTATCAGAATTCTAATCAAAGGAGCCCAAAAAGGAAACAGCAAAGTTTTGGATGTGTTGTGCCAGACAGTAGGTGTCCAGACTGGCTTTGGGTTTGTTAGCAGAAGGAGAGATGCATGAATGTGGGAATGTACAAATATTGATTTACAGAAGATGTCTGATAATGTGATATGAATGAAATGTGAAAAATGAAAGTATCTGCATGTAAGAATGCACTTCTGTCAAGTTTGTCATATGGAAATCAGTATTAGGTGTGTCAGGAGAAACATAAAAACAAATAGAATTCAGTGGCAATTGTGTGGCAAAAAAACAAGAAGAGCCTCAAGAATTAATATGGATTGTATACCAACAAAGTATATGGAGATGTTTTGGTCAACGAGGATCAGATTGCATGTTGCATATATCAAAGATGAATGAATGGATTGAGAAGAATGGGAATATTGAGAAAATTGTAGTTGGATGAAGCTGATGAGATCACTGAAAGGCGAGACGCAAAGTAAGAAGCAGGATGTAGATGTGGGGTGAAAATGAATTAACTCTGTTTCTTAAAATTAAATTCAGCATTGGTCATGTTCCCGCTCTTGCTTTATCTTGGTCTCATTCATCTTTTTAACCTTCCCAGCAAACTATATTTGAAAAATAAATGTAGTCTTCCCCCTCCCATTCCAAAATTGTTCAGGAACTTATCCCAGTTTGGGTCTTTCTGATATAACTGGAGTAAAATTCCCAAATGTATTCTTACTGGCGACTACAGAATGACAGCGGTAAATTGAGGCAAGCTTGCCTGTGTGACTGTAAAATTGCAAAACACTTCAAAAACTACTTCTCGGACTATCTGTCTTTCAGTGGGTCATGTCTTGTGAGTGTAGTAATTGAGCCATTTCTTCACTGCATTGCCAGTTTGTTTCTCTCCCTTACCTCACTGGGGAATTACAGGCCAAGGTCGCTGAAAAGACAAGAACTCCACTCAATGTATTTCTCATCCCTTCCCATGGCACCAGTTGCCATTAAAGATCCAATACACCAGTGGCCCCTCCACTAGCCTACTCAGCCTCTCAACCTGTCTGGTTGTAGTCAATCAAAAGGGCACATCTTGTTGCCGTCACGCACCAAGGCTCACAGCCAATTCCCCAGGCCAGGCTTTCTCTCGGCAGAAATCTCTCTTCACAACATCTCCCCCACCCTCACCTTGCTTTATTTGCACTGTATGGTGCTAACAACACAACAGGGGCATTATAGAGCACCGCAAGAAGTATCTTGTCCTCCTAGAGTCTGTAGGGAGTAGGGATGGTAGATAAGAAGTTACTATTTGATGCTGAGCAGAGGAGAGTGGCCGAAGGATGGAAATTTATCCTTACAATTCAAGAAATGGTTTCACTGAGGTGACTCGGAGTCCATCATTGCAGAGAAACTCCAAACTGGTTCAGGCACTTCTATAGTATCTAATGGTGACCTGTGCACCAGAGAACACTGATACAATTCTAACACACCAGATGGACCTTTCACATAGGGAGTTCATCAGTGTACTGAGATCACACTGCCCAGTGCCAGTCATCCAGAGTGGGCAGCGAGGCTACCAAAGCAGCCTTGTACCTCCATAATTATTCTGCATGGCTTCCTGTCCAACTTGTTTTCTAAAGATTGTTTTGCACAAACTCCTACACATAAGCATCTCATTAGACACACCCTCTCCTTAGGAAAGCATTGCATAATGTGATCCTGTGTGTGTGCGCGCACACACACACACACACAGTGGCCCTTGACAACCCCAGCAAATATGTACATGAAAAAAGTCAATAAACAAAAACAGAGAGCAGAAACATATAATTTGGATAGCAAAGATGGAACTGACAGAGCAGAAGGCAAAAATTGGCTGAAGGCATGCTGGAGCAGAAAAGCTTTCAAGCTTGATCAGGGAGATTGTCATCAGGGAGAAGCCAAAGGATTTCCTGAGGCGCAGGGCCTGCCAAAGCTGCGCCATGGAAAGACCCTCTCACATACCGGCACCAGTCAAGCCTCAGGTGTCAGTGAGGGGATAAAAAACAGGTGGCGGCTTCAGATAATCCTGCTTCAGGCTGCTTTATCTAATATTTAGATACTAGAGAGCGAATAGGCTGAGTTGATAGGAGGTGATTCGGCAAACACATTTAAGCCATTCCAATTTGCAAAATGAATGACCGGGTACATTGAGTGGAGATTAGAAATGACCTGGAAGCCAGGGGTCATAGATATAAGAAGGAAGCCAGCTTTCGACTGGCTGATGGGAATTCCTAAGTATGGCTGGTCCCCCTGTATTTGGTCTTCCTAAAAGTGATGATTTGGGTGCTCCGACGCTGGAGATTTTTAAGAAGAGATTGGGCAACCATTTATCTGAGATGGTATAGGGTCTCCTGCTTGAGCAGGAGGTTAGATTAAAAGACCTCCAAGGTCCCTTCTGACTCTGTCATTATGTTTTGTGGAAGAAACACAACTCTTATATTTTGGAAAAAGCAATGGGGCTGTTGCCAATAAAATTACTGTACAAAATGTGGATCCATTCACCTTGGCTGTGAAGCGTGGACAAGGTTTAACTCCTAAATGTCTCCCCTTTGATTGACAAACGAGGCTTTAGGCATGACACAGACACCCCATCTTTATGATGGCACCTCAAGAAGTGTCTGTTGTTTCTGCACTGACGGGATGATTGAGGGAGAAAGGGAAGTAGGAAAGAGGGAGGAAGGAGGAGTGGTGGTAAGATAAGGAGGAGGAAGGTGTAGGTAGGTGAGAGGGGGGTGCGGGAGGGGGACACCGGACACGTCCGTGAATGTACTGTTTGATGTTTTTTTTCTGGTTGATATTGTGATAAAAGATTTATGTTTTTGTTTCTTAATGAAAAATTAATAAAAAATTTATTTTTTTTAAAAAAAAAGAAGTGTCTGTTGTTTTAAAAGAGAAAAGTGCCTATTTGGAGAGGTGAAAGGACTGACTTTTCTATCTCTGCATGTACTTTCCCCTCTGTAGTGTGTGGCTGTGACCTAGCGCAGTCTGGCTTCTTCTTTAAAAATGGGGAATACATCTGCACCCATGACTACCAGCAGCTCTATGGCACCCGCTGTGACAGCTGCCAAGACTTCATCACTGGAGAGGTTATCTCAGCCTTGGGCCGGACTTACCATCCCAAGTGCTTTGTGTGCAGCATGTGCAGGTGAGTCAACTGTCTGACAGCAACGTGTGAACCCCTCAGGAGTGACGATGATGGTGAGCAGAATCCCCCTTGGGGAAAGATGCAGTATTCGTGTTAAACCACAGATTGCATTATAGCTTTGTTGCAATCAGCATACAGGTAGTTCTCGACTTACGACCACAACGGAGCCCCAAATTTCTGTTGTTAAGTCAGACATTTGTTAAGCGGGTTTTGCCCCATTTTACAACCTTTCTTGCCACAGTTCTTAAGCGAATCACTGCGCTTGATAAGTCAGTAACCCAGCTGTTAAGTGAACCTGGCTTCCCCATTGATTTTGCTTACCAGAAGGTCACAAAAGGTCATGAATATGAACCGGTTGCCAAGCATCCGAATTTTGATCGCATGACGATGGGGATGCTGCAAAGGTGGTAGCTGTGAAAAATAGTCATAAGTCACATTTTTCAGTGCCGTTTTAACTTTGGATGGTCACTAAATGAACTGTTGTAAGTTGAGGACTACCTGTACATTGCCTCTGCGTCTTATCAGACACGGGGGAGGATAGAGTTGTCAAATTTGATTCGTTTTATTTGGGAAAAACAGAATCTAGACTGGAATCTTCTTTCAGCCGATGCCAAGATTTGATCCCAGTCCAGCAGTTGCAGGCGAAGCTTGGCCTCCACCCTTAGAATTTGCTCCCCAGTTGGCAGATCTTCTCTGGAAAGTGATGGCTGCCTAAATGGCTTGCCTTTCTAGCCTGATGTGCTCCCCTGGAATTCAACATCAACAGTGTGTTTTGTTTTTTTGTTTTTTGTTTGTGCTTGTTTCCTTTTCTTCTTCCTTGTTCTCCAAATAATAATTTATCCTGCCCATAAAAATCTCTCCTTTTCAGCAGTTGGTGAAAAAATTGATGTTACCAGCACGGCAATGAAAATGTAGAAGTGCAAAAATTCAATCCTGAGCTACATATATTTTCTATTACTGCAAGAATTGCAGGTAGTCCTTGACTTACAACAGTTAATTTAGTGACGGCTTGAAGTTACAACGGCACTGAAAAAAGTGATGTAGGACCGTTTTTCGCACAACCATTGCAGCACTCAGGTTGTCAAAATGCGAACGCTTGGCAAGTGGCATATACTTATGACAGTTGCAGGGTCTTGGGGCCCTGTGATCCGCTTTTGTGACCTTCCGACGAGCAAAGTCCATGGGGAAACCAGATTCACTTAACAACCATGTTACTAACTTAATAACTTCAGGGATTCACTTAACAACTGTGGCAAAAAAAAGTCTGCAAAATGGGGCAAAATTCACTTAACAACCATCTCTCTTAGCAACATAAATTTTGGCTCTGTTGTGGTCGTAAGTCAAGGACTATCTGTCACTTGCTTCTGACCACTGGTATTCTTCTTCTAAAACTAGATACAGGTGGTCCTGTTGCTAAGTGAGACATCTGTTAAAGGAGTTTTGCCTCATTTTACAACTTTCCTTGCCACGGTTGCTAAGTGAATCATTGTAGTTGTGAAGTTAGTAACCTGGTTGTTAAGTCAATCTGGCTTCCCCCACTGATTTTGCTTGTCATAAGGTCGCAAAAGTTGATCACATGACCCTGGGGCACTGCAACCCGTCATAAGTATGAACCGGTTGCCAAGCGTCCAAACTTTGATCACATGCCTATTGGGATGCTGTAAGTGTGAAAAAGGGGTCATAGGTCACTTTTTTCAGTGCCGTTGTAACTTTGAACGGTCATTAAATGAACAATTGTAAGTCAAAGGCTACCTGAATCAGCTTCTTCTGCTTTTACTGAGAGAAAGGGAGACGGATTCCTGGTCCTTACCTCAAAAAATACTTTCCAAAACATGTGACGCCGTCCAAGGCAGCTTCTTCAAATGATATCTTTCCCTGTCTTAGATTTAAACTGCCATAATCCTTCACCAGCAGTGATACTGGGGAAGGCTTTGCTGAAGGACGAAGCAGGCCATGAAAGAGATTCCAGGCAGAGGCCTCCGGGTCAGCAACAAAGGCCCAAAGACTGCGATTGAATATTTGTTTTTAACTGGATTGATACTGAAATATTGGAATAGAAATGCAACTGATAATTAAAAAGCAAGGCAAAATAAATCAGGATGGCGAAGGAGGGGGAATATGATGAAAAGCTTCCGCCATCCTGCCTTTCTCCCCTAGTCAAATTAAGTTGCCTCCCTGGAAAAAGTTGTTGCTTTGCTTTTTTCAATCCCCCTTGCAAGTCAAATCCTTAATGTAAAAAAAAAAGTTATTAGAAAGCATAAAGACCTGAAGAAGACATAATGGCCCTTATCATCAATGGTATCAACAGATAACCTTCCGTGGGTTCTCATAGCAGTTGTCTGATTGCGGCTGTCTTTACTGGCTATGGAGGCAGTTGCTAGGGAAGGGAGCACCAAATTGCAAACCGAGTGCTGAAAAAAAAAATGAATTTTCTGCACAGGCTGCTGGGAAGAAGTCTGCATCCTCCTAACAAAAGCCGTGGTGCACATTTGTCATTTCTCTAAAGGAAGAGAACCACAAACAAAATGCATGTTCACAATTTGCAGACAATAATTTCACACGGAGAGAACAAGATGGATATAATTAGGCAGGAACTGGCTCCATAAGTTATGATTATGTGGCATTAATGAGATGAAGAAAGTGTGAAGCAAGTGTAGGGCTAATTCTGATTGTAGTGACAATCTAATGATTAATTCGGGTTTCAGTTGGATATCTCTGCAAGAGGAAGGGTGATTAGCATCCTCCCAGGGGAGTGGTGAAAATGTTGTGGCCTATGAATGATTCTAGGTCACAAAAATCCTCAGGTAGGACAGGTCTTTTACTGTGTCTTTTTTTTTTTTTAATGTTTGGCTTTTGTATTAGAGAAACATTAGAATTAAGAAAGAGTGTCAGTGAATGACAGGAAAAGATAGCCTTAAATTAACCCTAGTAGCTTTATGTGTCTACGCCTACAAATTGCTGCCATTACCCGTGCGGTATTTTGTTAGAATCACTAAACTGAAGTTTCTTTGTTGTAGAATCTGTACCACCCTTTCTGTAGCAACCAAGGCTGTTTTCCACTTAGCCTAAATGGCATTGTTAGTCCAGCATCAATCACTAACCTTCAGGGTAGGGTGATACTTGTGTGTTGACGCTATCCATACCATTTGTTTCTTACAAGCATTACCAGGAAATAGCTGGTAAGCTAATCCCCAAGTTGCTCCAGTATTGAATGGCAATAGCAACAAACCACAATGTAGTATAAGTACAGGCTAAGAGGAATGCTGAGCAAGGTAGAGGTACATTTACAAGTTGAGTAAGGTGGATTATGATGCTCAGATTAGATTTCCCAGATGATTGAGCAGTTGTGAGCAGTTTGGCAAGTCTGATGTCGATTACTTTCCAAAAGGTTTTTTTCCCCACAAACTGGGCAAAAATAAGTGTTTCCACTGATCACCTGTGGCAGTGGGGTTAAAAGGCAAGGATTGGTACTTAATGCTCAGGTCGTAGTTTATCTCATTGTGTTCAAGTTCCTTTGCTTAAACTTTATGAGAGGGGGATTATTATTTCCACTGATACAAAATGATCGCCTATTAGATCCCAAGCTTAAAAACTGGCATTTAGTAAAGCCTTACTACCCTTGTTCTTTTGAATCGGAAATTAATACATTGAAATAAATCCAATCTTCCCAGCGTCTGTGTTCAAGATGTTTTTATATACATCCATACATCTAGAGGGGGGGGTCCCCAAATGCTTCAGCCTAATTGATCCCTTCATGAAACTTCAGATTGTCCATCAACTACCAAACATTTATTATATAAAAATACTACTTTAACTAATTGTAGCAGAAATAATAGCAACAACAACCCCTTAAATAGTCCCATGACCACTTCGGGGAAACCCTGATCTAGATGAAATATAAGAATCCTTCCCTTCATTCTAATGAAATGTCATTTGCAGCCAGCTATATACCCTCCACTCTGGGTTAATTTCTCCAATTATCTGTCTCTAAGGAGGGGAGTAATTAGTTTGCATTTCTCAACTCAGATTTAAATTCATCTTTCTTTCTACTATAATTAATTTAGAATAGTTGCTGTTCCTTCGAAAACATAGATTTTAATATTAACTCCATTCATTTATGCTCATAGAGAAGATACTAGTTATCCTCTTCCTAGTGTTTAACCAATTTAAATTGAAGTATAGTTAAAGTATTAATTGTTCTGAGATGATGTGTTTAAGAATAATGTTATATTCTAGAATTTCTCATGTTTTTTCTTAGGGTTCATGTAGCTTTTGTAGTATTTTCCTTGCTTAATCTTATGGAGGGAGAGAGAGCAGAATACTATTAAAATAGGTGTTTCTTAACTCTGCTAAGGCAAGCTTCTATATTTATATTCTACAGGTAAGGTTGACCATTTAACCATGCACCTTTAATTCTCTGTCTCCTGGCAGACATGGACACCTATGTCTATGTGTGTTTGTGTTGTATTCCAGCCCATTTCATCTCATGTATTTCCTTTTGCATACATGCACATCTCGAGTGCACGTAAATAATAACTGTTGCTAGTTCTTGCACTATTTGTTTATCTGTGTGAAAAGCAAACTCTTTGTATTTTAAAGTATTCCACTGTCTGCATCACATTCTTCAACTGTCTGGGAGAGGTTTGTCAGTTCTTTGACCATGATATTTGATGTCAAACAGTCAGTTCTGCAAGTTTGCCCAACTGTCATCATGTTTGCAATGAAGTCAGTCTTCTATCACAACTTCTTTTTTTAAAAAATAAAATATGGGGATGTGAAGAAAGCACTGAAGCCATCAAGGTGTTGAAGGAAAACAGAGCAATCTCATAGCAAAATAAGGAGAAAGATGGAAAAGCACCAGTGGGTACTGAAATTGCAGGACTGCCTGCTCTCAAGTACATCTGTCTGTCCTTCCGTTAAACCCTGTCGTCTTATTGGATTTAGGAAGTGTCCCTTTTCAGTGGCTGCTCCTAGAGTCTGGAGTGATCTCCCTCCGATATACTACTGGCTTGCTTTTAGAAAAGCAATGAAGTCCTGACTTGGAGTCCCCTTTTGGTTATTTTAATTGTTTTGTTTGGCTTGCTGTTTTATATACTGGATTACTTTATAACAATTTATGGTTATTTTTTTGCTAAAATTTTATTCCTGTTGTACAGTTCTCAGAATCAAATGGTTGGGTAATCTTATAAATACTTGAAACAATCAAACAAACAAACATTTGCATGGCGTGAGATTTCAAATATATTTTCAGGACATCAAGGAAACTGCAATTTGGGCACACTCCATTAAAAATATGATAGCTGCTTACAGAGGATCCTTCCCCACTGCTTAGTAGAATTCCACCATGAATGAGGAAAAAAGTCCATATGGATATGAAATTTGCTGCCCTACTACTCATCAGCCTTGATTGTTGCTGTTCTGTTTCTCTTCCCAGTACCTGCCTGTTGCCTGATTTCCCTCCAACTTGATGTGTGACAAAATCTAACAATTTACATCCCTTTGAAGCTGTTTTTGAACAGTGTCAGAATAAGGGAAACAATACTGCACAAATATGCATGACTTTGGCCTGTCTTGCTACAAGGACAGGATAAGGACATGGTCATAGGAGTAAGGCAAAATATATATATTGCCAGGACATATTTGCGCCTTAGTTAGATATAAGTGAAAAAGCCCAAAGTTGCAGTGACCAGATACCTTTGGATTAATACCTTTATCAGCTAGAGAAACATGAACATAAGCGTATTAATTGTAGCACTGTGTTTCTCTTAATTACATTCATCCACAGGATTTCATGCTAACTCGTTATCTTCTATTCTAGAATCTACTAATCATTCTAGCCTAATAGGCTCACTTTTAATGAGCCAATTTTCTTATATTCTTAATCAGATAAGAAAGTGGTGCAGCACCCCATTCCCAAATAACATCAAGTGAAAGGCAATTCATGGAAATTATCTTTGATCAACATTAGCTCCAGGTGCATTTTAGACAAGGGAAAACCTTGGCTGCATTCATTCAGTTTAATCCAAGGGATAGACCCTCGGAGTTCTTCTGACTCCCCAGTCTTTTAGAAGCTTTCATGACTATCAGACACAGTATCTTTCTGGATCACATTTGTGTGTGAGGCTTAAAAAGCCTGAGGATCCAGGACGAGTGGTCCAAAAAGGTGGTGTTGAGGGTCAGTTCAAGTAATATCTTTATTGCAGCCACTACCCTGGTTTACTTTCCAAGTCTAATTGAAAGAGCTGGTTTTGATCCTTAAAAGCTCTGTGACTTAGGCTTGGGATAACTCAAGAAGTGGGACCAGTGCCATTGCTTTATGGCTGGCATTGGAGATGCTTCTGCTTAACTTACTATGGACTAGTGAGTAAAACGAGACAAGATTTCTTCCATAGTGTTCTTGTGCATCAGGAATCAGCTGTCACCTGGCTTTTATCACATAAGCCACAGTTTAGCAGGCATTTTGCAAGAGTGTTAAAGGTGCACCTAATTTTTCTTCTGAGTTGATTTTATCTTCCCAGACTTTTAGCTGAAGACATTTCATTCATTTGTTTATATGCTGTCAACTACTAAATCACTGTTTGTATTTTGCAGCCTGCAATGTTTGTTCTGGTGCTTATTTTATTTTTGCTATATTATTGTGTGTTTTTACGTCCATGCTTGAGAGAGTGTCCATAAAGCACGTGTAAGCAAGAGTTTTTTCCCCAATAAATCCCATAGCCACATGCAGCAATGAAGTCAGATTACGGATAATCTTTTGAATTCGGCATATCAACCCTCAACATTCAGATATACTCTGTGGCCTGGCCACAAAAGGATAGGCCAGGGATAGGAAGGTCTAAACCTTCCTCCTCTGAATGCTGAGATATTATAGGTCTATCCATCAGCTTAATTAGAGAAAGTTTGTATACAGGAAGAAGCAGCCTCACGCTGTGCCTACTCCATCTAAACCATCTCTTGGGTCTCCAGGACACAATTGATTGATTAGCAGTGGAAAGATTACCGTATATTCCAAGGAAGAAGGTGACAAGGAGAGATCTCCCCAAACATCCTTCCTCCAGCAGCCAATTTACAGAAACAATGAAAGTTTCTGCAGGCCTCCATTAGAAGTAACACAAGGGATTGCTGGTGGTGCATAGGTAGTTTATAATGCTTTAAAGATAATTTGAATTAAATGGTGACAAACAAATGAACCATGGTTAGTTTTGAAAAACTATGTAGTGTTAAACCAAATTAGTGTTCGGGTGACAGATAATTAGGAAATATCTGTAGGTTAGACTTGGAAATCAAAAGGCCATCCAGCAACAAGAAGCTTTTTCCATACTGTTGCCAAGAAAACTATGTGGACATGTCCATGAAGTCACTAGCAGTTGAAACTTTATATCGGTGTTTTAAAAATAAATAACACTGGACTAAATTTCTCCATTCAAACTGTGCTAAAAAATCATTTCTCAGCAGTTAAGAACACAGGGGAACATTACTGGTTTGGGAAATGTGGATACCCTACTCTCCTTCCTGGGAGATAACCAAGGTTTCTCCCGAGGTGTGCAGAAAATTTTGAATCAAACTGTTTCAGATTCAGAGCAAATTTGTTTCAGTGCCACATTTTGAGCATGAAACAGCTATTCTAAATGCAAAATGGGTGGTTTTGAATATTTTTGGAAGACACTCAAGCTCAAAACAATGCTGTGCTATCCCTGTCTGAAGTAAAAACAAAAGTCTCCCCTTTTATAAAACGAAACATTAAATCCCAAATCATTAAATTTGTGTTTAAAAAGCCCACTCTCTGGATTGATGTAGGTGTCTTATTTCTTTTGCTCTTGTGAGCATATTTTGGAAATACTTACATGATTGCTTGTCTGTTTAACTAGGTTTCTTTGTTTTTGTTCTTTTTGAGACTTCCCAACTGGTTCATCTTATGTTAAAAGGAAAAACCTCTCACTTCGTGATGATTTTCAGACTCTTTCTAAGAGGTGCTTCTAGCAGATAAACAAATTCAAATATTGCTCCAGGGCCAGTGAGAATTACTTTAAACCTTTTTTCTTCAGAAACAGGATGGGCAAGTTCTCTGAGATCTTCGTTTGTAAAAAATGTCATCTTTCATCTGCCATGTATTTAAGGTAGTCAACAAGGAATTAATTCCGTGGTATGCATAAAACTGCTTTTCTCAACTCAACCAGACTTAACCAAGAGTGAGAATTATCCAAAGATGAGTCATCAAAACCCACAAAAATAACAAAAGACAATTGAATTGTCAACAGATGTTTCCAAACAAACAAGCAGGCTTCCCATACTTCATTTATTTCCATGAGCATTAAATTCCAAATTTCATTAATAGACTCTTCAGAAAATAGAACACACACGAACCATAATAGCTGACTAAGTGTAATAATAATTGGTGAAATACCGGTTCATGCTGGTATTAACTTATGCATTTCTGATGTCTTGCTTATTTTTCCTTGTTTTAGGAAGCCCTTTCCTATTGGAGATAAAGTGACATTCAGTGGCAAGGATTGTGTTTGCCAAACTTGTTCCCATTCACTGATTAGCAACAAGCCTATCAAGATTCATGGACCAAGCCGTAAGTCAGGTTGATTTCACTTTTTATACAGCATCCAAACAAGATTAAGAGAAGGAAGTACTATAAAGACCAGAGGTCATCTAGTAACTTAGAACTGTGTATTGCTTCTTTATGCAATCTAGTAGGATTTTTGCCCTCAACTAATTTTACATTTTATAATTTGGATTTATTTGCCCCCCATGTACCAAAATGTTAAAAGGCATCCAGCGTAAATTATAACAATACTAAATATTAAGACTTATTGAAAGAACATATCTCCAAGAATTCTTTTGCTGATTCAAGCTATTTGGGAATTCTTAACTGAAAAAGGAAAGTTGAATATCTTATAAATAATGATGATGGTGATGGTCTTCATCATCACCATCACCATCATCCCTAATGTGATTTAGTTAAAGTATTTCTCTATCACTTTGAATGTAGAAAAATCTGAAAATAATTTACAATATTCATAGTCATTAAATTTCAGATTAAACCAAAGTGGATGATGATCATGATGATTTTAAAAAATCAAAATAGTATATAAATGTTGTCATGTATATCCGTGGCGGACAAAAGTTGTATTTAACTTTTTATTTTGGAGGGGGGGGAAGTAAGTACAATTTACTCATGTTTTACATTAATTGTAGCCTTGCACATTTTATTCTTTTGGCTATGCTGAACTTCTGATTTGACTTCTGATTTCATGATTTGGGAGACTCAGTGGGCTAGAATAGAGTATTTTTGTAATAATCTTCATGCCTTGGTGAAGTCTTTTGCCTTGAAGGAGTGCCTACAATTGGCATTGCCCAAGTGGGGCAGCTGCTATTTGTTACTCCCTTGTTGTCAGGCAGAAAACACAATCAGATCAACCAATTCTACTGTATTCTAGGGTAACATTAACAGAATCCTGCAAGTACCATTCTTCTCCCATCTCCTTTACCCTGAGAAATTTGGGAAGGTCTCTTTCGAGCCTCTCTCTAACTATGGACCGTGGTTTCTCTTATCTGTCCAGTCCTAACCAGCATGACTGGGCTCAGTCTTGCAAACTCATTCCAACATACCATTATACTTGTTGACCTATTTTGAACTGAAGCACTGATGAATTTATGAAATGTCCACAACCCAGGAGTCTTTCAGGCCCCTTCCCATTACCTCAGGTTTTTCCATGAAAGCTGTGGGGTGAGGAAAAAGTACTCCTTTGCTTTCTCCCTGTTTCAGAATTGTTTCCTCAGTTATGCCCTGAATGAGTCATGCCCCCACTTCCCAGACCGAGGGAGTGTGGGAGAGAGCTTCCCTGCTTGTGGCTTGATAGATCATGCTGAAATTTGTAGACTAGAAAGGCAAAAAGCTACCTTCAGGTTATATGATGGCTTCTTTGCCCAACAAATGCTAAAAAGGCTGTTGCTTACTGAACATACAAACAGAGAATTCTTGTAAAAGCCTTGTAATGAGCAATCTCGATTGGGCTGCCTACCAGCTGGATGCCATTGCACAGCAAGCTGTATGATCTCACAGTGGAGGCAATAGATGTTACTGTCTCCTTAGACACATGGATTACTAAGAGAAGAATGACACAGTATTCCTTGCTACAATCACAAAACAGTGCTTCCCTGTGACAGCTGGCTCTTGGCAGAGCTGTTCGAAGCTGCCAAACAAGAACACAGTGGCCACAATTCAACAGGAGAATTAAGAGCGTGTAAGCCTGTTGATTTAAGCTCCTGATACATGCCGAACTCCCAGCTGGACTGCAGCCTGTATGGTCCAAGGTGGTAAAAGTCACATTTCTGTCTTCGTTTCTACAGAAACATGACAGTTGTAGTGTAGCTGCATTTGGAAAAGGTAGTTTCTTCTGTGCTCCCATTTGCAATATTTAAAAGGCTGTCTTAGTGCAGGAAAATCACAGAGTCAAAGTCAACAAGAATTCCACAGTGTTGGCTCACCCTTTTTCCAGGAAAAAGGGTGGAGGTGCTATGTTTCTTTTCCCAGATCAGCTGAGTTGAGCTAAAGAAAAAGCTGTCCAAGACAGGCTTGCTTTGCTTTTAAGTTTGCATGAAGATGTAAACACAGATGTTCTGTAGGGGCCAAACAGAGGAGGGACAAGTCTTGCAATTTCACTGGACTACAACTGTTAAAATAACAGAAAGTGGAAATGTGTACTCAAACACTGAGCTCCCTCTCCCCTTTAGTTTCTGTGTTTATAGTAGCTCCAGATAATTGCTGCACTGTTGTTATTGTGCCTTAGTTTTTTGATAAAGGACACCTCATTAATTCAATTCAGAACAGAGCTGGAAAAGACCTTGGAGGTCTTCTAGTCTAATCCCCTACTCAAGCAGGAAACCCTACTACACCATTTCAAAGAAGTGACTGTCCAGTCTCTTAAAAACCTCCAGTTTTGAAGCAGCCACAACTTCTGAAGGCAGGCTGTTTCAGTGTTTAATTGTTCTCACTGTTAGTAAGTTTCTTCTTAATTCCAGGTTGCTTCTCTCCTTGATTAGTTTCCATTCATTGTTTCTTGTCCTGTCCTCTGGTGCATTGGAAAATAAGTTGACCTCCTCTTCTTTGTGGCAGACCCCCAAGTACTGGAACACTGCTATCATGTCACCCCTAGTCCTTCTTTTCTCTGGTCAACTTTTCTCTAATAATCTTCTTTTATTAAATCATTAAATCAACCAGTGCCACAGAAGGTGATAGAATATTAAATGTCATTCTTATCTACCCTTTGGTTCAATATTTATCCCTGAAATGAACTTTATAGAACAATGAAAGTGGCAATTCTGCTTTTAGGTTTAAATACTTCAGGGTGTCTGCTCGAGGATAAGATGATGTGGATTCTTGAGTTGGTTTCTGATCATGGTGTTAGAAATAGTGTGTGTTGGATTTACAAATGCCATTCACAGGATGCTCCTTTAAAACATACAGGGATTGTGTGCAAAATCTGAAAATTTGTGCAAGTTGGTGCATAAGAGGCTCCTGCTGAATCGTGTCCCATGTTAACTAGCAAAAGAAGTGCATCACCGGGATTCATTTTACTTCAAGATGTTTTTATCTGGCCCTACTCTGGCTCTACTCTATTACATAGTAAAATCAGGGTGCTATGTAATACTATGCATAGGATAAATGTAATCCCATTAAGCTGCTAAGATACGGTGAAGCTGGCTAATATTTTTTCTAGAAAGGAGGATCGGCGTATGGATAGATACAACTGCCAAAGTAGATTTTGCTTCCCCACCCCTTTCTACACTTTTGTTCTGTCCCATTTCTGTTTTTTTTTCAACAGTCTACTTTTTACCTGTTTTTCTTAGTATCTGCCAATTATAGTATGCACTTTTTAGAATACCTGACACAAGAAACCTCTCCTGGTTTAATACATTTTCCTCCTATTTGGATCATTCCCATTATTTTTAGTTGCAAATTATGTTATAAAATTATACTGAGAATTGTAATTATGTTCCAGATAACTTAGAGGTTCCATAAGATTGAACTACATAAGCTTTCCTCAAACTGTGACTGTTTAAGGCAGTGGTGGCGAACCTATGGTACGCATGCCAGAGGCGGCACTCTGAGCCCTCTCTGTGGGCACGCGCACCATGCCCCGGAGATGACAACCGTCACTCTTCAACCAGCTGCCCGCTAACTTGCCGAGGTCCCACGTGGTCGGATGCATCCCAGCACGGCTGGTTTCCCTCCCCACTGTCCCATCCCTCCTGGCCTCGCATGCTCTCCTTTTCCTGGGCACGACTCACTGCATTGCCTCCTCAGCTGTTAGCCGGCTGTCCAGCTCAGAGGTGGCTTTTTTGAATTGCTGGTGGCGGGCTGTAGAGCCCCAGATTGCACCGGTTGAAGGGCCGGCAGGCTGTGGCTGCTGACGGACACTGTCGGCCCCCATGCGCTCGCTGGCCTCTGTGTGCGAGGGCCGATGGTGTCAGGCAGCAGCCACCCCGGCCCCTGCCTCACCTTGCCCTGTGACAATGGCAACCCCACCCTGCCTCGCCTCACCTTGCAGGACGAGCCTCCTGGCCACCGCCCCACCTGCCAGAGACCCCCTGGATCTCCCCCAACCCTGCCTGGCCCCCACAGGCATCCCTCCCAATAAGCAACATCGAGGTGATCACGTCCACCTTGGCCATACCCACCCAGTCTGCCATGACCACCACAGCCACGCCCACCCAGTGGGCCATGCCCACTTGGCACCCAGCGATAAATAAGTGGGTTTTGAGTTGCAGTTTGGGCACTCAGTCTCTAAAAGGTTCACCATCACTGGTTTAAGGCGATCCTGTAAACCTACACAAGAGCGAAGAAGAATGTCCACTTCTCAAAGAGAAGAGATCTGTCACTGCATCCAACCAGATAGTCCAGCTGTTTTTGCAACTGGAAGTTCAGAAACAAGCCACCGTGAATAGAGCTGCATGGGACAAATCTGCTGAATCAGCACCCAAAGAAAGGCTCCTCTCTTCTGTCCCTACTCAGTTTCCAGGAACCTTTTAAGAAGCCCCTGAGGGGAAAAAAAAAACAATACAAGACCACAATATCTTTTTTTTTTTTTTTTTTTTT